TAAGATCGTATGATCGGCTTGTCGGAACATTCAGATTCTAAAAGTGGGTGCTAGCTTCTCCCTAGAGAAGCTTGGTTCAGTATCCTTCATGCAAGTAGCCTTCTACTGAGTTAAGTATAGGTTAGCGGGCTTATGTTTATTGATCAACTGGGGCAGGCGAATAAGGGAAAAATACAAGTTAACACCGGTAACTAGGCTGGTAAAGGAAAAATGATGGGAAATATTGGTGTTTATGTGTCAGCTGGTCGGCAGTCGATTCAGTAGAATGGACTGAATCGTTGGCAGTCCGGGCGTTGACCACTTTTACCGGCATTGGTCAAGGACGAGTGGCTAACTTAATTACTTTCTTTTTCGCTTACCTAGTTACGTTGAAAGTTGTCAACGTCCGAACCGCAAACGATCCAGTCTACTCTACTGAATTGACTACCGACCAGCCCACCCATCTATGGTAATTTTTCTCATCGTTATTCCTTTACTGGCCTAGTCACCCTTGTTAACTTGTTTTTGGTTTCCTGCATCACATACCCGATTTGATTAATAAACCTACATCCGCCACCATATACTTAACTCATTAGTAGACTACCGGCATGATGGATACTGATCCAAAGCTTCTCAAGGGAGGAGCTAGCACACCGTTTTAGAATCTGAGCGTCCCAACAAGTCGGCCATAAGTTTTTGGGACACCTGCATTCCGAGGATATTTTTTGAAGATTCGCGGTGAAAAGTAAGCGGGACGCCACACCATAATGATATTATTAGGTTCAAAGTGCGAAAATATTTCGAGCACGTTTCGTATCTTCATAGTTTCCTCGAATCCCACTACCGTTTTTAGAAATTTCAGGGCCTCCTTGCTTCGTACGAGTGAATCAAAATACATTTTTAAAGGAAATTTTTCCTCTTCCCCGCCAAGTTTTCCTGTAATTGGCTGTCCGAATGCGTGGAAATTGACAGTAAACTGCCTTTGTCTCCCTTAGTATCTAAGGTTACACATTTATATTATCAAAAGGGATACGAGAAAGCTTACTGCCAAATATATCTTCCTGCCATACTTCAGAATCGCACTATTTTCATTAAGATTTTGTGAAAAATTTGATCTTAATTAAATAAACGCGAAAAGCATGCAGAATTTGGTGAAGTCACCATTTTCATGACTGCAGCCAACCTTTATATATTTGAAAAAAACTGTTTGTTGAGAGCGACCAACCTGAGTAGGTGCAGGAACAACAGAAAATATTGGTCAGACAGGCTTTAGCCTGATGCATAGGAGGAACCTGATCCTCCACTTCCCCCCTAGCTAAGTAGTATACATCTCAAGAAGTAGATGGTATTTGGCCAACGCTTTGAATTTTACTAAAAAAGTTAATCTTCCCCACAGTTATCGTAGCTGCACTACCGTGAGAAGGGAACGCAATTGAATTGTTTGAGTATCCACATTCTAATGTGTCAGACCTCGGGGAATTGGCCTTCTTTCAACTCACAAGACAGGCATCATTGGAATGGTGATTCAGATCGTCGGAAATGACGTCCTTTTATATTATAATTGAGACATTACTAGATATTGCTATGTATAAATGGTACTAAAATTATCCAGCGAAAGAGATAAGGCTTCTCCTACCACAGTGTTTTTCATGCTTTATTTTTTTTAACACCTTTCGTCGACCTACATGGATTTGATTTCATTTTATATGTAGGCTGTCGTTCTCAACAAGTTGTTTCGCTTTTCAGTGTTATCAGATTCGCTGGTTTCAGAATTCATTACCATGACATTGAACTGACGCAAGGTTTAATCTTTAAGAACATCTCTTGCGTGCCTATAAATTACTACGTATTTATCTCATAATTGCCCGATAATTGCCTATCCAAAAATACACGGATTTTACAATCACTAATTGAGCAAATCTATTGACCAAGCCAGTGGGAATAAGTAACCGGGTAGTCGCGTTCATCGCCATCCTTAACGCAGGACCAGTAACTGCGACAGGTACCGTTTTAGCCAACTACGGCATCGCGGACAAGCGCGATTCATTCTCCCTGATGAACAGGTATGACGAACAGTAGTGTAGTTGTCGTTCCAGTCCCAAACGCTGAACACTGTATCGTGCGAATCTCCAACTTAACCACATCCACATACTCCACCAATTAACGGCATCGCTGGGGGACGAAGAA